CTGCTTTAGAGAGCGGGCTCCTTAATCTACAGATGGATCCGCAGATGGGGCAGATTATCGCGTAACGCGGCGGCGCGAGGGTGAAAATCTGCGGGACACGAGATACGCCCGTCGTGGATTCATAAAGTGACGAATTTAGCGGACCCTTCTGCAACACGACCGGGAGAGACACGACGGAGACACATTCCGCGACACTGTCCGCGGAAATGTATATTCCGCGGGCATATCCCACGCCAGTATCCTGTCGCAAACAAATATTTTCCTTGTTAATTAACGTGAAACTTATAGAGAGTAAACAAACTTGCGTTATATGCAAAATTCAATTATACGAATGAAACTCGAAGCGCGGCGAGGAAGTAATAAAGCAAAATTCCACGGTATCGTCGCTCGAATTATAGAACGCACCTAGATTTCTTTTTTTTTTTTTATTATCGCGGCTGTACTAAAATTTCTCAAATTCCACATTCCAAGCAGAAATATTTCTCTGATATCCTCTCTCGGGGCTAATACTGTCTCGCGAGCAAAAGAGAGAAATGAGAGGAGGCAGAGGGAGAACAAGAACAGGCGTACATAGCCAGGCAATTTACTCGCGTGTCGAATAATCCTTGAACGCGCGTCCTTCTCCCGTGTAGACCGGAGTAACCTGCGACGCGTTTTCTCGTGCGACATTAAACTCCTCCGACGGGCGATTCTAATCTGGAGCGAATTTTTCACCGTCGTCGCAGTCGTCGTCGTCGTCGTCTTCGGAGGGAGAGAAAAAAAGTCGCGACGCCCAGGCGCGACGCGCGCGCGTCTTTTATTTTATTCCGGTCTGCTCTCTGTATCTCTCTCCGCCTCCATTTATCCGGAGCCAGCATCTTCGATTTGTGGCACGAAGCATGAGCTCTCATTACTCTCGCCGAGATAAGGTCGGACAACGCGCGTTATGCGCTCCTTCTGATTACACGTCTCCGTCGTTCGCACGTCGCGATGCGATCCAGCTGCGAAAAATGATCGGCGATCCCCGCGGTGCTATTCGACACCCACCCCCTTAGTGGCGCCCCGCGTTGTAAGTGCTGTCGATGTAAGTACACCGTCGACTGCCAGAGGAGCTCAAAAAATACAAGCGAAAAGGACGTTTGCAGAACCAATCAATAAAAAGAAAAATTGTCGCTTAAGATCAAAATAATTTTGTCGAGGAGCAACGTACGTAATGATAATATGTACATATCGATGCATTTATTAGAAAGAGTTGTTCTATCTTTAATTATAATGAAAATTTGCCTAAGTCTAATTACGCTTAATTAGATTTTTAATTATATCTTAATCAAATCGCGATTAGGACTCTCGGTTATTGGTTGTCATTCGATAAAGCGCTCCCCCAAGTCATTCTCAAATCCTGATAACGAGTTTTGATTCTTCACTCTCTCTTTCTCGTTCTACTTCGCCAATGAAGTGCGTGAATGTTATCTCTTCTCATTCTATCTTCGACGAGTAAAATTTCTCAAATTTGCGACGCGCAAATTTTAACCTCCAGCTCGTAACTCCCAATTCACACTTCATAACTTGTCGTTCTTAACGTGACTCGAAACTCCACTTCCCCCAACATTAATAGCTCTCTCAACATTCATACAATTTGACTTTTGAGAGGCGAGCCTCTTCTAATTGTGAGTTCATAAATAAACACTATCGAGTTTTTTATTCTGAAAGTATATTACGTAATAATTATTTAATTATTAAATTTATATTTAAACTTATAAATATTTAATTCTTAAATTACTTAATTATTTATTTAATTATTTAACTATTAAACTGTTAACTATTATTCTCGCGTTTCCGTCGATTCTGCGCATCGCGTTGAAGAAACTACAGGGAAACTTCAACAGAATTTGCGAATGGAAGCACCGCCGTTGTTGATAATGGCGAAATATGGGCGCGCAAAAAGCTTGTAGCGCGAGATCTCCGGCGCGCGTAGCCGGTTTCCTATGTCGACGATGCTGCTTACGTCTGCAACTCGCGCACATACCGCAGATAGGTATCCCGATAACCCGTTATCGCGATTCGCGATATATATATATATATATATATATACATATATATATACATATACACACAATGTGCACGCCGTGCGCCAGAAGACGCTCAAGACGAAGCACGAAATAATCGAGCGATCGGACGCGCTCGTAAATTTCGCGCGTGATCGGCGAACGGTGAACGTAAACGTGCGCGGGAAGAGTAATTATTAATTAACCGTGTTCCACAATCGTGATCCTCATGCAACGAGAGAGTCGGGATAAAGACTCGAGAGTTTCGGCCTCTCGAAATTTAAGAGAGACGCTCGGGATTCACGCGATGCTCAAGTTACAGCAAGTCGAGAAAGTCGACGAATGCGAGTCGAGTAAACAATGCCGGGGACCGCGTTCTATTGAATTGAGAAATAAAAAAAAATCGAGAATTATATAAAGATACGGAACATCTCGTCTTTCTCTCACGGCGAAAATGTTTTCGTACGTGCTTGTACAGTAAATCAAACGTTTCGCGAAGCACCGAAACTCGTTATCAGCTCGTTTAAGCGTGACTTAAGCGCGTTATCGGGCTCGCGCAAGGCCACAGGCCCGCTCTCGTCTGATAACGCGCGGGTCTCTCGTTATAACATTATATTGCAAACCAAGCAAATGAAATAAGCGCGCGCGGTATTTTTCACTCGGGTATATTTGCGGGGTCTATTCTGACTTTTATGAGCCGGGGAAACTAAAATTTAATTGCCCGCGTCAATCACGCGCCGCGGGGAGAGAAAGAAAAGATACTCCCCGGAAGGAATATCGGAGATCGACCTCTAGAGAGAGAGAAAAAAAAAGAAGGGGTTGCGCGAGTCCGGACGCAGGCGCAAAGGAGACCCCCGGTGTCCTTTGAAGGAGCACGTTGATTAATTCATTTGGAGATTAATTCTCGGGGCAATTCGTTCTTGTGTTGTCATAGAAAACACACCGGGTATTAACGGATCAATTAACGCTTTTAATTCCTCGTGTCAACCGGCGCGCGCGCGCGCGCGCGACAACCGGGGCCGAGCGATTAAATAATTTTCGCTTGAAGCACCGATTGTGCACCCCTTCCGGGAGGGGCACACGGACGTACAGAATGATCAGCCGAAACTCTCCGCGCGCGGTTTGCGAGTGGATCACGGAGAAAAAAAGACGTCCGATCGCGAGCGTTGCCGCGACCCACTTTTTCCAACGCGTGCCGCAAGAGCGTGCCGTTGTCGCGACGGTTGTTAGGTCGGGGGACCGTTAGAAGGGGTCGAAGGCCCCCGAAGAGAGCGGACGTGAGAGGGTGGACGACGTTATGTCCTGCCTACCCTTTTCGTCGGCTCGTTAATTCCTTTCTCTCCGAGAATGCGGCGTGTAACGCCCCGATTCCGCACATGATATCGTACACGCAACCGCGAATCGACCGCCAATTCCCGTCTCCCGAAAATCCACCGGCATTCGTGAATTCAAATTCAATTTATGAACTGCTACGTGCACGGCAATCGCCCTCCCCCCCCCCCTCTTTTCCCATTTCACCGCCGTTTCAAGTTTATCCCCACCGGGCGGTGTCGAGATATCGGCGCGAGATAGCCGGCATTATCGCGCGAAGAACAAGTGTACCGATAAGCTATCTTTAGGAAACGAGCTATCTTTGTTGTCAAACTCTTTGTTATTGCGCTAACGAAAGCGCTACAATCTTTCGTTGTAATTACGCAATTCCGATTCTAAAAATAAAGCAGTTCTAAATTGCGATTAATTAGGCACAAAATAAAAAAAAACTTGTGAGCAAATCTAGAAAGTGCTTTTAATCTTTACTGGGTTTCGATTAAATTAATACGTACATGGCAATCCATTTACCGTTTATTTACCGTTTATCTATCCGGACAGATTTGCCGAATCGAGGTGGATACCAAAGCGGGATGTACATATCGCATCATCGAAAACGCGGGGAAATTGTTCGCCGCGGCAGGATTCCTGAGTTTCACGCGAATTTCGAGGGAAACGTCTCTCTCGGAAGAGAAAGGCGACGAGTTGGGGTAAGAAGACCCGGTAAGTCCGTCATAAAAATGTACGAAGTGTTTCGTCTACGAGAAGCGAAAGAAAGTTCCACACACCGATCCCCGTCGTGCCGGCGAAGGCAAGAAACCCGTGACACGTGAGAAACTTCGAAACATCTTTATTAGCGGCGTCCACGTGTCGCCCTTTCGGACTCCTTTTCCTCGTCGTCCCGCGCGTCTTTTATTTCCCTTTCCCAATTCTTCGCGAGACCTTCTCGTTTTTCTTCAGTCTTTTTTTTCCTTTACACGCGCACGTAACGCCGATAACGAGACACACGTCGTTGTCGCGCCCGCGCGCGCTTCACCGCCTTTCCATAATTTTATTTATCCGAGTCGTGGATTCTCGCGATTCTCTCTCTCTTTTTTTTTGCGCGCGCGCGCGGATTAAAGCCGCTTGTTTAAGAGTAAACAAGCAGAGACCGCGCGACGATGTTGTTTGCATGCGCCGCGGTGGAAAACAAAATATTTGGCAAAACAGTCAATGTCCCGAAAAATTGCGGCGCGCTCTGCAACGGTTTAATTAAAAGCCCCCGCGAGAATCTGCAGTAAACTTTACGGTTTACAATGTAACCAGTATGTTTGAATGCATCCTGCAGTCTCTCGCTCCCCCTTTTTTTTATTCCATCATATCCGTGCGGTTTGTCCATCACCGCGCGGTAACTGCGATACTACCGATTTAAACGCTGCGAAATTAAGAAAACGAATCGCCCGACGCGGGGAGAGAAAAAAGTTATCGATTACGCGACTCGAATACATATAATCAACCGTCTGTATGCGCTTTCGTCGTCAGCGCATACGAAATACGCATAGTTTTAAACTATAAAAAAAAAATACTTTTGAATATGTGTGAGGTCGACTGGAAATGAGGGCAGATAAAGTTACGGGCAGCTTCGCGCGGCGAAGAAAATGTTTAACATGAAAGTTTTAAGGTACTTACGCAGACGGTCTGCTGGCGGTATACTGGCGTTCTGCAACAGAAAAAATAAGAACGGCAAAATTAGCGAAATTAGTCGAGGCTAATTATCGTCTGTCTAATTATGCGGGCGGCTCGCGTGTACTACACGTTGAAATGAGCTTCCGGTAAACGAACAATTAATGCGTCCGAATGAGTAATCTGTCTAACTGAGTAATTTAAATGCCTCGCATATTAAAGTATTCATGTCAAGTCAATTTAACGCGAGCAAGTAAAATTGATTCATTTCCTTCCTCAGTTTTGTTATCCTTTTGTGTACAAAGAATAAAAGAGACTCAGGGGTGGTATATATAATACAATCTCGTACAGTTACATCTCTTCTTCAGTTTTAAGAATCTCCTCTTCGCGGTTTTAAACGTTAAAGCCCGCCTCTCTTGAGGGACTCTTACCTCCTAAAGAGTCTATATAACTTTTTTACGAGCATTTCAGAATAAATACACGCGAGCACATGGCGAGGCTTGTAATCATCGTGACCCGAAAATATCGTGCAATTCAGCAGAAGTGCGGTTAACGCACTGCACGACAAGGCGAAAAGAGACCCGGGTATAGGTTTGACCGTATGAAAATGTACAAGATGTGCGCACGATGAAGAAGCGATCGTCTGTCGTTCCACGCAACCCGTGATGGGTCTCTCGGAAAGCCGGGGACCGACCGACCGTCTGTCGGTGCCGCGAGAAATTTCGCCTTTAGAAATTCGATGACCTGCTTGCGCTGCCGCGCGCGCGGCGAAGGGAGGGAGGAGGGGAGGCCGGGAGGAAGTGACGATGAAAGGAAGAGGTGGAAGAGCAGAGCGCGCCGCGCCGGGGTCGACCGGCGACCGGCATTGCGTAAACAATGGCGTACACGCAACGTGCACGCATGCACACAACGCATGTCATGGGAAAGGGACTCGGGGGAGCTCCTGCGGACGAGTCTGCGGCATGAAAGCGAGCGGCGCGACGGCGGAGGAAGGCAGGGGCGGGGAGGGTGCGGCGGCGTTAAATTCGAAATATAGAGGGGTTGAACACACGGGGTGGACACACACGCACAAACATACATACATACATACATACCGCGTCCGTCGCCGTTACGGGGGCGCCGTATTTTATCACCCTCATTTTACCACCACGCTCTCGTCTAATGTGGAAGCGCGTGCTTCGGCGTTATTACGGAGCCACGCAAGAAATTGTTGCGGCAGCCGGAAATAATTCCGGCGAGAGGAAGTAGGGTTCGTCTCCTTGTGTGCGACCGAGAGAGATCTCGGTTTCATATTAGAATTAAATACAAAAAATTGTTATTTTTTTTCATCGTGTTTTTCATCATAAAACACGTTAAATGCACCTTAATGAATATAAATGTCAAATAATCGTCGCGAGGAGATGTTTTTCTTTTTAATGACCACAAAGTGTGTTTGCGTAGACATTGTCTTCGCGTTGCGCGGACGTTAAATAATTTATATTCGCAGAAGACCACTCGGTTATAAAAGTCAATAAACGATTGTATAATTGCACACACCGGGACACTTATTATTCATCGGCCGTCACGGCCATCATTTCAACAATAGGGCACGAAATTATCCGGCGACCTTCCGCCGTCTAATTATCAATATTCGTTGCGTTGCAATCCGGCGGTCAGCCCTGGTACACGGATGACTGCGATCAATCAGTGACGCAACACGCGCGCAACACACATACACACTGCCGCTCTCGATGTCAGAAAATAATTAGCGCCGATCACGGGGCCGTTAATAAGTATCACGAGGCCGTTGCGTATCTCTTGTTAGCGCACGTGTGTCAATAATCGAGCCCGCGAGTCGAGAGTTGACTCCTGCATAAATCTCTCTCTCAATGTGAAAGTTTACGCCTCCGTAATTCTCACTTGATGACTAAATAAAATATAAAGCGCCTCTTAAACGGGCGAAAGGGCAGATAGTCGGCGTGAATTAATATTATCTGGCGGTACCGTCGAATGGAGAACACACTCGACACGGTTCCGCGACTTTTTCGCGCGCGGCCAGCCGCGCGACGCGCGACCAAGGCGACTCACATATAAATAATATCGCGCGTATAAATTTATCCGCGATCTATAACATCGCACCGACCGACTCCCTCCCCATCCCCTTATCACCCCGTGCCGCTACGAACGGTCCAGAAACGCGCGGGGAACGGTCCGATCGCTCGTCGCCGGCTGACGATCGTCGAGATTCGAAATTTGCCAGGCGGCGGCGTTCTCCCGACGGCGTAACAATGTTGACGTACGGATCAACCTCCCGTGCAATGCGCGCGCCACGCCGGTGCAACAATGCGCCGGTAAATTCATCGTCGAGTTATCTCTCCGAGTGACCGAGCTCCGAACGAGCCATCGACCGTCGTCGTCGTCGTCGCGCGCGCGCGCAATCGATCGGATCGAGCAAATCGAGCAACAGAGAGAAAGCGAGAGAGAGAGAGAGAGAGAGAGAGAGCGAGCGCGAGAGTGGACTTCGTCGAACGACTCGATGTTGCGCACCTGATGATAACAGAAGATAGCTGACACCGCCCTGAGGTAGTTTGAACCTGCTGAACATGAGTTATCGCCCACGTTGCTGCCGCTGCCGTTGTTGCTTCTGTCTCATGTTACTCCGCGCTCCGCTGACGCGAGTGAGGCGGACGCTGCGTCAAGATGCGTCTTCCGATCCCGTCTTGGGAATCCCGGGCGGAGTGCTCGCCTCGCTCGAGACTCCCCCGTCCAATCACGTCAGATTGTGCACTCGCGGGATTTTCGAAGTCACTTCGTTGATTCTTCAAGACTTAATTAAGCTTGTCGCTGTCCTGGATTTTCTTTTCGTAATTAGCGAAGGGCTGTATTAAATTCGCGCGATCCTGTTTTGCGGATTTGGATCGCGACACAGTGCTTCAAACGGTATCTTCGGGAGATGTTTTCCTTTTGTTATATCCAAGTGGATTACGTTCAGTCTGTTATCGCGTCGCACAGTGCACCGAACCGGCTTTTATCTCAGAAAATTGCGAGAGAGGTGGCCGCGGCGACGTCCGCTCGCCGCGCACAAGCGGAGCATTCAGCGCGCTTTAAGTACAAAGCTCACATTATCCGGGGTGGGATACACTGAAAATCCGCACGCGTGAGGAACGAATCCACACTCGCGAGTCACACACGCGAGGTCGCGCGGGCAAAAAGCCGGCGAGAAGTTTTTCTTCAAGGCTGTGCGAAACGTCGAGATCTCCGGGATCCACCGGAAACTATTACAGCCCGTGAACGCGAGGGCGTACCGCTCACCAGAAGCCGGCCGGGGGTCTGCTCGATATCCACTTCGTGGCGAAGAAAAGCGCCGCGAAGAAGACAGGTGTCGGCGCGCGAAGAATTCTTCAAGGTCGTAAAATTGCGAGGCTCCGAGACCTTCGCGCCGCGAACTTCGGCGCGTTTCGTTGAAAACTTGCACCCCGCACGAAAGTTGAGATTAACTTTCAGCCGTCTCGGAAAAAAAAAAGGAGAGCGCACGAGTATCGCGGCACGAGGTGCGAAAAAAGGAGACAAGGCTCACTTCAAGGTCGGGGCGGAGGGTGGGTGGATCCGCGTCTCGCGCCGGAAGCGTGGCCCAACACGCCCCCTCGGGGCTCGCTTACACGTGAGCGACTGACCCAGACCCGGCTGAATACCGCCGGGAAATGTCCTCCTCCGCCGGGGTCACCTATGTACACACTTTGCTTGAACTTTGCGGCCGCGCGACGTTGTGTGTGCCCTCTTCTCGGAGGCGCCGCGCTCTGGAAACGAGTGCGCTGGCGACACGTGTACCAGTCCGAATGCCTCGGCACCGTTTTCTCTCCTCGTCGTTTGCAGGCGGATCGGTTAAATTTTATTGTTTCCTACTGGAAGGAAGCGATTGTCATTCCGGCGACGTTTCGGCCGGAGGGCGACGCATGCGTGAGCACGTGTACGACGAACAGCGGTCAATAAGAAGAACGCGTGTGAGATCCACGTCCCAAATGCTCCTCTTCGGGAACGGATTACGTGTCGTGGCTTCACACGCGCGCGCGTGCACCGATCGCGACACACTCTCGATGATCGACGCGACTGATCGTTTAACCGAGCGAGCGCGGATCAACGGCCGTGAAAAACGGATCGCCGCCCCTCCCCCGTCGCCTAAAACTTCCGGTGCGATGCTTTGAAATTATCGATTTTGCGGCACGTGGCGTGACTCGGAAATATTTCACTCGCTTAATACGCGACGCGCGCGATTATTTACGAGGTCTGTCGTTTCGCATTAGTTTCGGGAAAATCTTAATTACAAATTTTTCGCTTTTCACGATGAGATATCGTAGAGACCGCGGATATTAGTTCGTCACTGCACACGAAGCGCCGTGGAATGCGGTGCCCCCCCTCCCGGCGTTATAAAGTCACCGAGAGATTCTCCTTTGTGCTTCGGTGGCATCGGCGGGACCTCATTTCGAAACCAAACTCCGGATCGATGACACAGGTTTCCGCGCAATTTCAACAGCGTCAACGTCGCAACGTGGCAGTATAACAATTGATCGCACGAAACTAATTTTAATGAGACGGTGATAACTCGCGAGAGCGCGGGACGACAACGAATGATAAATATGCGCGCGCGGAGAAACGGTCGCCGCTTTATGAAGAACGTCACGCGATACACTTCATTCGCGAGAGCCAATAGGGACGGATGCGCGCGAGCGCGAGCGAGCGCTCGTGCAGCTCTCGCGCGTCAGTTGAACCTCGTTTTGAAACTCAACACCGATCGATACTGCGCACAACTTTGTCCGCACGTAATCCCCACCCGCTCATCAACATTTCACGGCGAGTAGAATTTAAATGAGCGTCGAGGCACGATGACACGCACGTTGATTAATTCAAGCATGCACACACGCACACACGCCCGGTGATCGCGCGGCGCATCTCCTCTATTGTTACCTCGCACTCTCTCACACACGCACACACACACGCACCGATTCGTCGAATCGAGCCTCCTCCGGCTTTGCCGCCGGACGGCCGAACACCTCAACACTC